TTTATGATTTTTAACAATCATTAGCTCTTAACTGTTGTTCGGAAACAGATCAGACAGGAACTTCAGTATTGTATTGCGTGTCAGACAGCCGGAAATATAGAATGAATATAGGGCATGTTATATTTTCGCAATTGAGTTAATTTTTACGGAGAAGACTAAATGTGAAGTTAATAAGCTGTCACAGAAATATTATGCAGTTACATGCATCTTCCGCATTCCTACATATAAAATGATTATATGCTTCATAAATAGGACGCGCTCTATATTTATCAGCAATCACATACGATATAACTATGCTTTCTTAATAAAAAAGAAACGATTTATTTTTAATCAATAAGAAATGATTTATTTTTTATAAACATTATTATGTAAAAGTAGAGTTAAACTAAATGTAAGTAGCATAGTCACGATAGAAGTTTAACACCAGACAATTTTTCGATTTCGAAGGCCCATAATACTTCAGTATGATCATTAAAACGTTAAACTCTGCTTTCATAAAAAGTTTCGTCAAAACGGTAAAAACATTCAAGGTTTAATTACGGAGAAACGACCCGACTGGCCTTTACCAAAAAGCAAAAACTAATTATTACCCCAAGTGATCGCAAATCGAAAATATATTTTTTCCCTCAAAAAGTCAATTTTTACCCCATTTGGAGTAGTTTACCCCGGTTTCCCGACCACTGGCTTAGTGTAAGAGAAAACTTTATTTTCGAAATAAATAGTTGAAAATTTTATTTATGAGCTAAGTATAAATTCTTATGATTACGTCGGCTATTTTCGGTAAGGGGGCGTCCATTAATCACGTGATAGACTTTTTAAGGATGTTTGGACCCCCAACCCTCCTCCTTGGTGATATTCAAAATTACGCCCCCTCCCCCACGTGATATTTTGTGATTTTTTGTCAAACTCCCCCACTCTCCCCTAAAAACCTAACGTGATTAATGGACGCTCCATAAGTTCATGTAACTTTCCTTAAGGCAAAATGACACAATAGTCCAGTCATTATAGTAAGTTCAAGTCGGAATTCGAGATACCCAGCTGTAAGTCTATAAATATTGTATATTGACACCCTCAAAATTGTTTCAAAACCTACATATGGTACAACATATATAGGTTTTGAGACAACTTTTAGGGTGCCAATATACAGTTTTTACAGACTTACAGCTGGGTATCTCGAATTCCGAGATTCTTACCTAATTTAAGCTTAAATGACTGGACTACAACTAGATTCTGTGGTAGTAATAAATAATTTGCAATAAAATAAAAAAAAAACAAGAAACAGTGAAAAAACTGTGCAATATTTCAATGATAGTTTACTAACTAATTAACAATCATAAATATACTTAAAGTTTATTTTGTAGTCAATTAACAGCTCAATTGGGCCAAATTTAATTGTATAAAACAAAAGACATCAAAATAAAAGTACTTGTCATTAGATGAATGGTAAACAATTAGGCAGTAGCACAAAAAATAAACTGTGAAAACAACAAGTAATTTGACCAGTAGTTGTATAATAAGTATACCGATATGCAAATCGACCATGTTCTGTCTTGAAAGTAAAATTCATTTAATCTATTCATAAACCAATATTTAAAATGTACTTTATAAGATTTTTCTTTCATCATTTAGATATGCAGTTGGCATTTCAATGGCATATGTTTTTTGTGCATAGAGTTACTGCTTATGCATAAGTATGCAGTTTCATATCATATATAACATATTACCTTAAAAATCACGATTAACAAATTGCTAGTATAAACATTCAATAATTTCAATATATAGTGGAGTGAAACCAAGAAATGTTTTTCCTTCTGTTCTTTTCATTACATTAAAAAGACCTACAGATAAATTGAAATCTAAGAATTATATCACACGTATATAACTTAATAGACTTATTTGTCATAAATGATTAATAATAACTGAGCGAACCATGCAGTTGAATATGAATTTGTACGTAAAATTTACTCCATCATAAAAATCGTGAAAGCATTATCTTTGAAATAGTTACTAATTCCTTGGTACTGTAAAATTCAATCAGCTGCACCTTAATTCTAACATACAGCAATATTTCATTCGGTACTCCTTTTTATGTTTGAAGTTAAATAAATAAAAATTTGTTATGACTTCAAATATTAGTTGAGAATGGAAAATATTTGCAATATTTTACTGTTTGTTACTTCATTCTACATTTGAAGTTCAGATTTCGGGGTATGAACTTTCAACACCAGTTTATAGAATTTATTTCTTGCTTTGTATTTAATTTCATACATTAAAACCAAAATTAATGTAATATTACTTAATTATTACATATATAATAGCATTTTATTATGAAAATGTTTTATGCTTGAAATTGGGCTATTACTTTCTTTGTCGAAAATTAAAACACTCTCTGAGACTAAATAATAATAAAAGGGCAAAATTTTTTTGATGTTTAACCATTTTAGTAAAT